CTTGCAGACAGTGGAACAACACAAACAATCCTTCGAGATAAGAAATATTTTTCCCACTTAACATTGACCGAGGCTAGTGTTAGTACAATTTCAGGTCCCACAAGTTTGATTGAAAGCTCCGAAAAAGCCGATATTGTTTTACTACATGGGATAATAATTCACATTGATAAGGCCTTATATTCTATTAGATCTCGAAGAAATTTGTTTAGTTTTAAAGACTTACGTCAAAATGGGTGTCACATTGAGACCACGAATGAAGGAAATGTGGAATATCTCTACATTACTTCTAAAAAACATGTACTTGAAAAACTTCATGTTTTCTCTTCTAAGTTATACTATATAACCATGAAGACAGTTGAGTCAAAAGCTGTGATACACCAAAAATCTTGTGACCCAAAACTTTTTATGTTTTGGTACGATTGACTTGGTCACCCAGGGACTACAATGATGCGTCGAATTATTGAAAATTCACATGGTCACCCACTAAAGGATCAAAAAATCTTGTTACCAAATAATCATCTATGTACTGCCTGCTCACAAGGCAAGTTGATTATTAGACCATCCAATTCAAAAGTCATTATTGAATCCTCCACATTTTTACAACGAATTTATGGGGATACATGTGGGTAAATTCATCCACCTTGCGGACCATTTCTTTATTTTATGGTCTTAATTGATGCCTCAACACGGTGTTCACATGTTTGTTTGTTTTCTACTCGTAATGTTGCATTTGCTAGACTCTTTGCTCAAATTATTAAATTGCGGGAACACTTTCCCGATTATCTAATTAAGACAATCTGTCTTGATAATGCCGCTAAATTTTCCTTTCAAACTTTTGATGACTATTGCATGGTTTGGCCTAATCTTTTAGTAAAATATTTCAGTTAATTGGTCGACCTTTACTTATGCAAACAAAATTACCTGTTTCTGCTTAGAGACATGCCATAATACATGCTACATCATTAGTTCGCATACGACCAACTACTTATCATAAATATTCACCATTATAACTTGTGTTTGAACAACAGCTAAATATCTCTCACATACGAGTTTTTGATTGTGCCATATATGTTCCTATTGCACCACTACAACGTACTAAAATGGGTCCTTAACGTAGACTTGGAATATATATTGGTCTTGATTCTCCTTTTATCATTAAATATCTTGAGCACTTGATAGGTGATGTATTTAAAGCTCGATTTACCGACTGTTATTTTGATGAAGCTGTTTTCCCACCATTAGGGGGAGAAAAGAAAATTTATGAAAGGCATAATGAGATCACTTGGAATGCCTCAATATTATCTCATTTTTATTTTCGCACAAATCAATGTGAAAAAGAAGTTCAGAGGATTATTCATTTGCAAAATGTTGCAAATCAATTACCTGATGCAGTTACTGATACAAAGAAGGTAATAAAATCACATGTACCAGCTGCAAATGTTTCAGCAAAAATTGATGTCCCTGTGGGACAATCTGTCAATATTTCAGTAAATGCATCTAGAATACAGCTGAAACGTGGAAGACCAGTTAGTGCAAAAGATGTTGTTCCTCGTAAGAGTAAAACACAAAGAAAAGTTGGTGCTCCCAAAGAGGCCACAAAAGAGCAATAGAAATTATTGATAAATCTGGAATTATAGTCCTTGATAAGGCCTAGGTATCTAAAGCTGATGAAATGATAAGCCTTAATGAGGCAAAGACAGTGAATGATGATAATGTGGTCCTTGATGAGGCAATGGTACTTGAAAATGATGAGATCTCACTAAATTATGAAATAAGATAGAATAGAAATGAAATTGTTGTCGACAACATATTCTCATATTCTGTTACTTTTGATATTGAAAATGAGGATCTGGAACTTCGAAACGTCGAAAGATGTCGACGAAGAAATGATTGGCTGAAATGGAAAGAAGCAATACAGGCAGAGCTAAGTTCATTAGCTAAACGAGAAGTATTTGGACCAGCAGTCCAAACACTCGAGGGTGTTGAGCCTGTTGGATATAAATGAGTATTTATATACAAACGTAATGAGAAAAATGAAATTGTGAGATACAAAGCTCAACTAGTAGCTCAAGGTTTCTCACAGAAACCTGGGATTGATTATGATGAAATATACTCTCCAGTAATGTAATACATTTGGTAGTCACAGAAAGATTGCATATGCATCTATTGGACATGGTAATGACAAATTTATATGGATCACTAGATAATGATATTTACATAAAGATTCCTGATGAATTCAAAATGCCAGAAACAAAACCACGTAATATGTACTCAATAAAATTACATCGATCCTTGTATGGATTGAAGCAATCGGGGCGCATGTGGTACAATCGCCTCAGCGATTACTTAATAACAGAAAGGTATGTGAATAATAATCTTTGTCCGTGCATTTTTATCAAAACAGAATCAGGTTTTGTTATTATTGCAGTATATGTTGATGATTTGAATCTGGTGGGAACCTCTGAAGAACTCCTAAAGACTGCCACTTATTTAAAGAGAGAATTCGAGATGAAAGATCTCGGAAAGACAACTTTTTGTCTTGGATTGCAAATTAAACATTTATCAAGAGGAATCCACATCCACCAGTCAAAATATATAGAAAAGATTCTGAAACGTTTTTATATGGATAAAACCAAGCCCTTGAGCTCACCAATGGTTGTCCGATCACTTGATGTTAAGAAAGATCTTTTTCAACCTCCAGAAAATGATGAGGAACTCCTTGGTCCGGAAGTACCATATCTTAGTGCAATTGGTGCTCTTATGTATCTTGCAAATTGCACACGACTTGACATTGTTTTTTCAGTCAACTTATTAGCAAGATACATTTCTACACCAACCCGTAAACATTGGAATAGAATCAAACACATATTGCGATATTTTCGTAGAATAATTGATATGGAATTATTTTATTCAAAAGAAATCTCTCTAATCCACATCAAGCTTGATCACAAATAGGGTATGTGTTTACTTATGGTAGCACTGCTATCTCATGGCGTTCTATGAAACAGATAATGATTGCTACTTCCTCAAATCATTCTGAGATACTCGCATTTCATGAGGCAAGCAAGGAATGTATTTATTTGCGATCCATAATCCAACACATTAGAACAACAGGTGGCATTTCATGAATAACAGATAGCCCCACAATATTATATGAAGATAATGTCGCATGTATTGCACAGATGAAAGAGGGTTATATCAAAAGTGACAGGACCAAACACATCTTACCAAAATTCTTTTTCGCACATGAACGCCAAAAGAATGGTGAAATTGATATTCAGCAAATACGTTCATGTGAAAATTTAATAGATTTGTTCACTAAGGTACTCCCGACCACGACATTCAAGAAATTCGTACACAACATTGGGATGCGACAACTTAAAGATCTTTGGCACTTATGAGGGGGAGTCCTTAATTGAAAATGTATTGACATATATTATACTCTTTTTCTTTCGCTCAGGTTTTGTCCTAGTGGATTTTCCTGGCAAGATTTTAATGATGCAGTTCTAAACCATGCAATGCTTTTATAGACACACAAGAATATTATACTTTTTTTCTTCGTTTAGGTTTTGTCCCAATAAATTTTTCTGACAAGGTTTTAATGAGACATATTCTTAATGTAACATTGTGGACCCTAAGAGGGAGTGTTATAATACCTATAAGCTCCATAATCTTTAATGCAATGCCACTACATGAATTGAGATTGTGAATTGTAGCCGAAAACTGAAGTGAAGAAGGTACTTAAAACTATTGGTGCATATGATGACTATAGTGGGTTTCATCCCCTATAAATAAATAGGGGTAATGTTGTATTGTATTGATATACTTGAACGAAAAAAATGAAATCATAGTAGATTTCTCTCTCTCCTTATTTGCAGTTTTCTTCCGCCCTAGATTATATTATATATTTACAACACTTCTAAAAAATTAAGATTTTTAAATCATGACCAGTGATTCCAGTAAGGAAAAAAGGTTCATATTTTCGAAAATCAGAAGTAAATCCAACGCTAGGCCGGTAGCGATCTGAACGAGGAGAACCATCGATGGAGGAGGAGGTTGATTCAACAACTTATGATTAGACAATGGAGGAGGAGATTGATTCAACAACTTATAATTAGGAAGAAAACCACGACGACCCCGGATCTTGTCCAAACAGAATTTTTCTTTAAAATTGAATTTATCAGTTCCGGCTAAGTGGAGAGAGAAAATGGGAGGAGAGATAAACAGTGAAAAGTTCACTTTTCACTTTTGTGATGCGCTCGCATCTGCCTAATCGGTTAAAGAAATCCATGTAAATATTATTTTTCATAAAATACATTTTATTTAGAAGCATCGAAACAGAGTTACTTTAGGATCTCACATGCTCATATGAATACGACCATGTAGTCTTAACAATGCTCTGTTTGTTTGATGAATAAGAATGGTTTCTCTGCTGCAATTCCTTCTCTCTATTTGAGTAGGTGAACGTTTGATGAAGGATCTCCCTTACAATTGTGGATCATATCTTCTTGCAGAAGCCAAATCCAATACGATTTGCTTTGGAAGATACCTCTCCTACGCGAGGGTTTATGGTACCGTGATTAGTACTTTTTCCCTTTCTATATATATATATATATATATTGCTATTTTTAACAAAACAAACCGAACAATAACTACTGAACAAAGAAACTATCAACTAACAAAGCATTCCTAACAGCATATGGGATCTCAAACCCCTTTAACAACCTGATTTAACAGTGTTGCCTCGCTTCGGCACCATTGCCACGTCTTGGAATCCAGCTCAAAGAAAAGCCAGCACAACTATGAAACAAAGCTTTTAGCATCACCCACAACCTAGCATCTATTGACCAAACCAAAAAAATAAAAAAGTAAATTGATTTCAGAACCAAGAAAAATACAGATTCTGGCAGCTAATTTTTGGACAAGTCTGGTATCATCATACATCGTCACATTATGTAACATTTTTGTACGGAAGATAATATATTCCTTTCCCCCCTATCGCACAGAAAACCTTTAGCATTCCTCAAATTGGGGTAGTACTAAGTTCCAGACCCTATGTTGGAAGTCTTATAAAAGTAGTCAACTGGTGCATTACATGATACCACCCTCAACTTCACAATTGGCTGTCTCCGCTCCTACCCTCTGCTGTGTCAAACAAAACATCCCCTACCACCCCCCAAAACGAAGAAAAATAAAATCACACTTGAAAAAGGAGGGTAAATAGATGCAATACAAATGCATCTAGCATGTTCAGAACAGCTGCTTAACCATAAAAAATATATGTTCTTTCTTAATATTCAGTTTACAATGGTCAAAAACATTAATCAGGTCAATAAATTAACTTGCAAATGGAAGGAAAATTTTGACATGTCAGCAAGAAAAGGCCTCTAATGGATGTGGTTCCTCAACTACCGTGGATATGTGCCAAATGATTGGCTTAGCTTGGAGGAGGTGGAGGTACATGAGATTTTGCAAATCCCACCCATGCAACAATGCCAACTGCAAGGATTATCCACCCAAATATATCATACTTAATATCACTGTTCTTTTTCTTCGAACTCTGAAGAGAGAAAAGAAATAAATAAATAACAACACCTGTCAAACAAAATATAAGTGTAAAGCACTCCAATTGCTGGAGAAAAACGTGCTGTCCAACATTAAGCATGAAAGATCAAAAGTGCCATTTCCAATCCTCTCTTTAGAAAAAATAAAATAAAATAACACAAAAAAATAAAAATAACAGCAGAAAAAAATAATAAAACATATTCTCATCAATTGTTAGACTATAGTTCATGCACAAGCCTAGGTGCACCCGCACATGCACTTCACTCTCATTCTCTCCCACTCAACCCTCTCTTATCCCTTCTTCAAACACACACCCAGAGAGAAACTTGCATTAAATATAAGAAATTATTCCGAAATAACATACGTTCTCACAACTCACAAGTACTTCAATTCAGAAATGGAAGATAGGTTGCTCATGTTTTCACCAAGTAAATAGGCAAACTGAAAATTTCATATGGGATACACTTGAGACATTGTTTATTAAAGCTTTGGTGTAATATGAGTCTTCATTTACATTTGTTTAAGGTTAGTATGCTACTAATCAAATTACATTGTATTTCCTTAAAAGTTAAAAGCATCCATGTTATCTCTGATTAGTTGTTCCACTATTTACCATTACAACACCAAAAAAGCCCTTAAATCATCCCAACCATAACATGTATTCAACCCCAATCCTTTCCCTAACTTCTAAGCCTTCCATTTAGCACCTACAACCTTAAATACTTGCTATCTGAATGTCTGGAAAATAAATCTCCAAAACTCCTGAAAATAACACCAGAAAAGCCCTTAAGTCATCCCAACCAGAACATGTATTCAAACCCAATCCTTTCCCTGCCTTCTAAGCCTTCCATTTAGCACCTACAACCTTAAATACTTGCTATCTGAATGTCTAGATAATAAAACTCCAAAACTCCTGAAATTAACACTTTTAAAGCCAAATCAATTCTATTTTATTTCGATTCACGAAACAAAACTCTAGAAACTTAATATAAGCCCATCAAAAACCACCGAGAATTGTAGCATATTCCTACCTCCAAAAGTAGAAGATTGCGGGTTCGAATCCCATATGAACAAAGTAGGGAGTGAGTTATTTGCCAAGACCAAAATAATATAGTCAACTACACCAAATCCCCTGCAAAAAATCCCAACACGCATGCATGCTCATGAATGCAGTGAAACCTACAAGCTTTCAAAAGACTAAAATCATTTATAAAATTTGCAGAAGACCAATATTGCAGTGTGGATCATCTTACGCTAGGATGGCATACATCAATGAAAAATTGTCTAAATCCTACAGTTTTAGTTCAAGACTTTAATAGCAATCCCCTTTGTTTCCTTCAAGCAGGCACATGTCGAGTGTAAATAAAGCCATAGAGGTAACAAGAAAGCATCAATGATGGTGGGCGGAGGGTACTAGGGTAATTCTTGCAGGTAAGAAATCTTATCCCTACAAACTAAGCCCAACATAAACCTATTTACAGGTATCATTACTGCTACCTTTTCAATTTCAGAGTGGAGGTATTCCTACAAACTAAGCCCAACATAAACCTATCTACAGGTATCAATATTATGTTATAGAGGAGGTTCTAGTCAATGTTTGATCAACTACACAAAATCCTGTGTAAAAATGTCCAGACAGACATGTGGGCCTATGAACATGCACACCGTCACTTTATGGCAAAACTTACACGTGCATAAAAAACTCTCCTTGCTTCAAATGTGCAAAACGACCAGTACTTGCAGTATGACAATGTTACAACTATGATGGCCTACAACACTAGAGATTTCCAAAGAAGGGCACATATCTAGTGTAAATATAACTAAAGAGGTAACAAACTCTCTCCCTCCCTCTCTCCCTCTGTGTGTGTGTGCGTGTGTGCGCGCGCAGAATAATGATGTATACAATATAAATAGAGTACCAAATGATTAGTCCACTGCCAGAAGCATTCTTATTCTTGACGAGCACATAGTCTGATAGTCAACAATCTTGAATCAAAATTAACAGGTTACAAGGCAAATCAACGGCTAAATACCCTTTCTCCATTAAAAAAAAATATTAATATATAAATATTGGATTGCCTAAAAACAAGAAACAAAAAAATCCACAATTTCAGCCACTAGTCGTTCCAATTTCCAAATACTCCACAACCATTCAAATGAACATAATGCTTTTTTGATTTCTAATGAACGAACCAATAACAGCATTATTTGCAATAAACATCTCTTCAAATAGCCAAGGAACTAAAAAAAATTACAAATCCGAAGAAATTACCTTTGAAGTTGAAGAAGTGGAAGGCTCGGTCCCTGTAGCCTGCTGGCTAAAACCGTGCTTATGAATCTCCATGTGCATCTCAGGGGCCTATAAATAAATAAAAATAATAATTTCAGCAATCAAATTGGATATTATATAAAACAAAAAATTAAGGTCATCCTGCAAACATATTTGTATCAAACGATTAATTAGAATAAACGATAATCCCAATAATGAATCAATCAACAACAGTGACAACAATCACAACATTTTATACTATTATGAAATTGCTGCCATTCTTTCCATGCCTATCAATGACTGGAATGCAGATTACATTAACCTTAAATATTGCAAACTACCTTACTTAGTTGTCAAGTTCTTGTCCATTGAGCATATTCGGGTGCCTAAATTGTTATAAGGTTGGGAGTTGAATGGTTAAACAATAATATATTGGAGCTCCCTCGCACTTCAGTGTGTGCCTATCATTACTCTTCTAAATTCTAACTGTGTGACATATTCCATAAACAAAGGCCTATAGACCTACCAATATGATGTGAGTCTTGAATAAACTTGTTTAAGAGAGGTCAAGGTTCAAAAGTTGGAATAAAGGATAAGGGGGTTCCAATTTTGTTGGGGGTTGTATGAACATTTTCTAAGTCCATCCAGACATGTTGAACACATCCCTAATGAATTGACACGTGTCTAACTTATATACTTCACTCATTTAAAAGAATTCATGTTATATAGCTTGTAACTTCTTTAATCAAGAATCAAGTATGACTGTAATCAGCATCATTATAATCAAAGTTCTTGACTCCCAGTTAGCCACAATCTCAATACTTAAGGCGGCAACCCATGTAATACAAACAAAGCAATGCAAATCACAAATTCAATTGAATTTTGCCAATAAAAGTGTACCTTAGCAGCCACTTCTAGAGATTTGCGGTAAAGTTCATTTTCCGGATCCTACAACATATAAAAAATCGTGGTCACAAGTCTCCAAATCCAGACATTTAACACGCTATGTGGATGGCCACATGATTCCAACATATATATTTGTGTCACAATTATACGTTTACATCAGGTCTGATATTAAATATATACCTGAGCAACAGCTTGTTGAAAATACTGAGTTGCCTTATCAATATAACCCATAGCTTCATCTTGATCCGGAGTCAGAAAAGCACGAGAAGTGTGTGCATTCCCCAAGCACCAAAGAGCATCATGCTTATTAGGATTGACCATCAATGCCTCCTCCAGCTTTGATATTGCATCTACATAATCAAATCATTATAACACCAAAACGTAGGATTAATGGAACTTCCAGTTCAAACATTAACAATCACTCATTAAAATCAAAGCTTTGTTTCTTTACCCTAAAACTAAATCATCTTTAGAAAAAAAAAACTACTGCATAAGTGAAATTGGCACCTTGCATCATTATCTTTGATTCGGGAACATTGTGGAATTGCGATAACTCGAGCAACGCCCCTCCCCATCGAGTTAAATTCTGTAAAATTATATATATTGATCATGACAGATAAATACAATATACATGCAACCAATAACCAGTTTAAATCCAAGAACAAGAACTTAATCTCAATATGTAAATATATGGGTATATATCTAAGTGTGTGTAAAGAGAGTGATACGAACATCGGCATCGAGGGGATTTTTGGCGTAGGTGGCTTCGGCGAACGTGCGAGCTTGTTCGAAGAATAGGATGCGATCGAAGTCGTTTTCCCCGTCCATGTCGACAGATAAAACCCTTGATTTATTTTTAATTTTTTTTTTTCTCAAACCAACTATCCAACCAGTTAGGGCTTTTCTATGAGGAGGCAGTCAAGAGTTTTGAGTGGGAACTGGGAAGAGACAGCCTGACTTTGACGGTCTTCAAAGACGGTTTCCTACTTCCTACGTATTTACCTAATTAATTCCGCCTTCCTTTTTTTATCAATTCTAGCCTTCTTCTATTTTGGCTATAATTGGTATATCATGGGCATTCGGGGAATTAACATTGTATATATATAAATTTATCATAGGAACCTCTCCTATAGATATGGTAAAAAAAAAAAACTAGGTGTATTTTCATTTTTCCTTATACGAATTCCGTTTTATGGATGGACTTAAGTGTTTTTGTCAATATTAAATATTTATTCGAAATATTATCTATATCTAACTATTTATACTATTATTAAAGTGTAAGAAATTTTAATATTTCAGTATTTATTTAATAATATAAATAATATTTATTAATTAATATGAAAACAATTTTTAAAAATAATTTTTATAAAAATCTAACACAAATTACCTATTTATTATAAATTTTAAATTAATATAAAATGTTTAGAAGAGTTTCTATAAAACTCAAATTATCTATTTATTATGAATTTTTTTAATAAAATGAAATCTAATTAAACAAGAAAATATATATATAAAAAATACATATATAATTTAGTCTATTTAGTCTCTCGTCTTTTCTAATTTTATAAATAATATATAAATAAATAAAATATTATTAAATTGTATTAAAAAAAGTCTTGATTTTTATATTGTTTTAGGTGTTCGAAAATACACCTATCAATAATCGAATTCGTATTATAAAGTTCATTTAATTTTTTTTTTATTTTTTATTTTTATCTCTTTTATCTTGTGTCAATTTTATGTTTATGAATCATTTTAGAATAACACAAATTACTTATTTATTATGAATTTTTATTTTAAAATTAATATAAAGTGTTTAGAAGAGTTTATATAAAACTCAAATTATTCATTTATTATGAGTTTTTTTTTTCAATAAAAGGAAATCTAATTAAATAAGGAAATATATAACGAAAATAAATAATTTAGTCTTTCTAATTCGATAAGAAAATATAATATATATATATATAATACAAATAATTTAGTCTATTTAGTTCCACGCCTTTTCTAATTTTATAAATAATTTTTTAATATATAAATAAATATAATATTAGTAAATTGAAATAAAAATAGTCTTGATTTTGATATTATTTTAGGAGTTTGAAAATACACCTATCAATAATTGAATTCCTATTGCAAAGTTCAATTAAAAATAATTATTTTTATCTCTTTTACCTTGGGTCAATTTTATATTCATTAATATTTTAGAATTTATAATTATTTAATTACTTTGTTAAATATTAATTTTAAATTAAATTTTACTCACGTGCGCAACGTACAATTTTACTAGATAAACTTGTAATACATCTCACTAGTGTGTCGAACAAATTTCACCATCAAAGGTCTTGTTTGATTCAGGTTTTTTTTTTTTTTTTTTCGTGTTTAAATTTATCCGTAGGTCAGCTTTTATATATTTGTATAACTATAAAAATTCCCTTATACTTTTTTTTTTTTGGGGGTCACTTTACCTCCGTATACTATTAAAGTCATCATAGACCTCCCTTTCTGTTAATTTCTAGTTAAAGATAAATTTTTGTAAATGATTTTAATATCCATAAAGCAACCCGCTACCAAAAATGATAAAAATACCCTTTAACACCAATAATAAAAGGATTAAATTCATAAATAATATATAATATTACACTATACAATCTATTATACTAAAAGTTGAAAACAACTAAAATTATCTAAATACATTACGTTATATAATAAAATAGTAATTTTATAATAAATAATTTTTTTATAAAATAATATACCTATATAAAACACATAATATGATATATGAGATTTTAATTAAATGTTATAAGAATATTCATAATTAAATATATATCATATACTATATAATATTAAAGACTATAACCTTTGTGTATAATATGTATTATATATAATATTTTTATTTTATTATATAATATGATGTATACTTACGACCCCATTCAATAAATTATGTAAATAAAAAGTTCTATTTATGCACAGTACACACGAGGTGAGTTGAAAATAAGAGGCTAAAGTGTCAAAAACAACACCAATAGAGTTTCATCTTGGTCTTTTCGTGAAATTGGAAATATAACACGATTAAAAATTGTTAGGCTGGTATTAAAAAAGTTTCTGATCAAATGGTATTTGATAAAGTAATACACAAAATGCATTTTATAAATAAAAAATATATTATTAGGAGAGTAAGTTTTATTATTATATATATATTTTTTTTACAAGAAATACACTCACTTGTCCTTATTAAGACTTGATACCTCAAATCTTCAGCGATGGAATGATTTTCCATAGAGAGGTGGAGGTGGTTGGTCCACAGTAATTCCTCAACCTAATACTTAGCAAATATTCATATTAAATGTATGTAAAATATGTGTAATAATAATAAATATGCTTTTCATACAAGTTTCAAACTCAACAGATGATACACATATTTTTTTAGTTGAATTGTATGATACGCAATTAAGCTTGTTTCATATCTAGTTATTAAAATAGTTCACTTATATATATTTTTTAAAAGTTTACATTACCTTTACTAATTTTATTAGAAGAAACAAAATTTAAATTATGTGCAATTACAGTGGCATACAGTAACTGTTAGTTCATTTAATAGTTTTTTTTTGTATATTTTAACTTGAAAGTAGTCCCTCATAACTTTAAGAAAAAATTATATTTTAGTGATCAAAACTAAATAAAATGATTTTAAATTAATCACAAAATTAAAAAAAGATAAATAGTTACCAAATTTAATACTTATTTGTTAATAAGCTATCCTTTAAGAATAATTCTATCAAATCATTGTTTACTTTTAAAAATAAAATAAAATGAGTCTATTAATACTTCCTCAAATCTCAAAAGAAAAGGTCAAGATTAATTAAAGTCCCCGTACCAACGTGAAAAAAAAATATATATATATATATATATATCAATAATTATCACCACTTTATCTTCATTGATTCTTTTGGATGGTAAAAAAAAAAAGGTCAACATTAAAAAAAAAATTTCAATGGAATATTTTTTTTTTGTGGAAACAGTCAGTTTGTAAGAAAATTTGGTATAGGTATTAGTTTCACTGTTGTGCTTAATTGGATAGATATTTAGAAAGCTAGTCTATAGATGATGGGGAGGCCGTATCCAAGCATACCCAATGCTAAAGTTCTCTAATGGTAATGGCCGAGTTCGATAAATCTTACTTTACCCTGTTAAAAAATTTGTTATACAAATTATGTTTCCATTTCAGGATGCACCTATTCCTACTTCAATAGATAAAGTACATACTCTTTTCCATGTATTCTATTTAATTACCGGGGGCGGGGCGGGTTATACCACTTTTATTATGTAGTAAAAAAAAATATTAGTCCAATGTGTTCAAATTGAGTTGATAAATAAGTTTGGTCAAACTTTTAAATTACTAATTAGTGAATATTAATATGTTAACTTACCCTTTCAGCATAGTAACAAGGGTCTTAAAAATATAAAATATTTTATAGGATTAAATGCAAAAAAAACCTTAAACTATTGCCATTTCAGCAACCAACCCCTAACTACAAAAAATGCAACTATACAATTTTGTTATAGATGACTCCATCGGCAAGTCTCCAGCAAGTTTTGACAGGGCATAAGTTGAAATTAAATGACCATAGTGCCCTTATACACGTGAAATGACAAAAATACCCTTAATTGTTAAGGCTGCAACCAAACAAGTAACTAATAGGTTATAATGACAGCCAAACACCCCTCAACGGTATGACTTCTGGAACTTGGCAGGAGCACCACGCCCACCGAACTTCTTGATCTCCTTCTTGGACTGCTCGTCAACGTACTTCTGGTAGTAGGTGAGGAGGGCTTTGGCAATGGACTGACGGATGGCGTAGATCTGGGAGGTGTGACCACCGCCTTTGACTTTGACCCTCATGTCGACGCCGGCGTAGCAGTGGCGACCCAGGAGGATGATTGGTTCGTACGCCTTGTAGCGGAGGATCTTCGGCTCCACTAGCTTGATGGAGCAACAATTAATCTTAATCAGACCACGCCCGCGCTTGTATTAGGTCACGGTCACGGCCACGGCAGTCTTCTTGCGCCCGAAGCACTGCACACTCAATTGGGGCCGCCATGATAATCAGGTCTCTCTCTGTAGAAAAATGAGAGCCCAAAGTAAAATAATATAATTGTTGAAAAGAATCTCTCTCCGCCCCCTCAATCTGTCTATATATATGTAAGTAGTGTGTTTGTGTAAATTCCATATCAATCCAATAATGTTTAGAGGAAGTGTTCGCCGGAGAAGAAACAATTGTAGATGATGGCAAACACTTCCTCGTTGAAGAAGAACGAACTGGCAGTTACTGGGATATCTATTTTCCGTTACCTTTATTTTGATCAGACCCTAAACTATGTTCGGCGACCTTCTCCCATGTGTGACAAAATCTTGATTCCTTAAATTCGATTAACTTTTGGCAACATTATATTTCCATGGCTGATAATCCTTCTTCCACATTGAGATCTCAATTTTGTCATCACCAAAAAAACTGAGTCCGGACTGTGACACCGGTTCTGATTCTTCGTCTCTGTCCAGCGATGTCCACCTCTACCACCATAGCCGCCACCACCATAATCACAATCCACCATTGTTACGCTTTCTCTCTCTTTTCATTTTCAGAAACAAAACAATAAAAAACTGAAGGTCATCTTTGTTTGCTTTTATGAAATAAATTCATTAGTGTCTTTGATTTAATTGGTGTTTCTCTCTCTACACTAGTGAACCCAAGAGCCTCCTCGAATTCTTCATCCTCCACCAACAAATTCACATATAAAAACCCTTACACTCAATGCGTACATTCATATATATATTGACACATTCTTTTTTCATTTGTTTGTCAAGGTATACATATACACACACATAACCCATATACATTCGGATATATATACACATATATACTGAGAAAATTCAATCACCTGAATATCCATTCATATATTTTATTTATTTGGATCATTAATTTGGCTCTTCAACTCCATTCATATACATTTACATACATATATAGAGACGAGCATATTCACAGGACCCAAAATTATTCTTTTATATACATTCAGATATGAACTTCTATCAATTTCACACTATTCACATTCGATTATTTAATCAATTTCACATTTCAAATTGAAGCACTTGGTGTGACAAAAATAAGTGATTTAGGTTTGGGTAGTTGTTCCTGAATTTGGGACATCCAGTTCACCATCAAACCCCCACCACCAATTCGTCCACCGCCTGTGGAGAAGTGGATTTGAGAGCAGTGGGTGTGGTTTGGGTTCCAGTTAGTCCTTGAGGAGGCCCCGGATGACATGGGCCAGGTCCGACTCGCAAAACACAACATTCAGTTCGAACAGCTGGGTCAGCCCATAGAAAGACACTGCCATATGGGCCGAACGGGAGTAAGCCCATCAAGGGTGACCAGGGCTTACAGAGGAATAGGCCCAGATCCAGCAATCAGTAAATATCTTGTAAATATCTTGTAAATATCTATAAATAGGAGTTGGAATGAAGAGGAGAGGGATCTTTTCGGGTTGAGGTGTAAGAATTCTAGAGAGAGAAAGAATAGAAGGAGTTTCTTGCATCTTCAATTGGCGCCGTCTGTGGGAATCGAACCCACGACCACGTGTTGAAGATGCAAGAAACTCCTTCTATTCTTTCTCTCTCTAGAATTCTTACACCTCAACCCGAAAAGATCCCTCTCCTCTTCATTCCAACTCCTATTTATAGATATTTACAAGATATTTACAAGATATTTACAAGATATTTACTGATTGCTGGATCTGGGCCTATTCCTCTGTAAGCCCTGGTCACCCTTGATGGGCTTACTCCCGTTCGGCCCATATGGCAGTGTCTTTCTATGGGCTGACCCAGCTGTTCGGACTGAATGTTGTGTTTTGCGAGTCGGACCTGGCCCATGTCATCCGGGGCCTCCTCAACTGCCCCCATAATTGCCCCTTATTTAATAAGGGGTAATTATTGATGGCGTCTCATCATGACGCTGACGGCTCGAGATAACCACGTGGGGGAGCGGACGGTCAGATCCAGAATCAATGTTCCGGGGCTCGAGGGATTTCTCGCCTTCCCGACGCTTCGGCCCTCGGGCCCCCTCGCCTTTATAATGCTCTAGAATTCCACTTCACTTCCCTTTACCGTCTCCATCATCAGCCAAGTCTCTCTCTTTCTAGAACAGTGCTAAGCTTTTTCCGGTGAAATCCTTCGAGAGTCAGTCTTCCAGCGATCTTGCAGTCCTTCGAGGTTAGTTTCGTTCTTTTTACTTTCGGCAGGCTTCCATTTTCCCTCTTTTAGATTCTTCTAGCACTTCCACCATGGTTGTAGATCTGGATGTTCTTCGTATGAGACTTAGACTTCCTGACAACATCGAAGTTAGGGTTTGCCCCCAAGACGTTAATATTACGACCGGCGCCGGCCTCTTGCCCGGCGAAGTCTTATTCACGAACCTTCAATTGAATGTTGTTAGGTTCCCTCTGCACCCTTTCTTTAGTTATGTCTTCAATAGATTGGGGATATCCCCTCTGCAGGTCAACCCCAACTTCTTTAGGATCATATCTGTTATGCTCTTATTGATGCGTGACAGAAATCTGGACTTCGACCTCATAGACCTCCTTCTGTGCTATAAGGTCAGTAAGATCCGTACTAACGAGCCCTTCTACCACCTCTACCCGTTCGAGAAGATGTCCATATGCACTGACACAATAAAATCTGAAAAGGGTTGGAGGGATAGCATAGTGGGCATTAGTGGGGCTTGGTCTTCGCCGGCTGCAGAGGATTACCCAATCCCGAGCGCCTTTGGTGTCTGCTCTGTCTCCTCCTATAAAAAATTCAAATCCCATAAACATGACTGCCCCTGTGAAACATGCGTTCCTCGTTTTTGCACTTACTTATGCCGCTCCTTGGGAATACCTTGTGATGACTTGAGCTATAGTGTTTGCAGGGATAGGAGTAACTACTTGAAGAGATACGTTCTGAACGATATTCCTTCCTGCTCAGATCTCCTCACTTCAGACAACCTCTTTGCGCTCTCATCACTCGGCTACAACATGAGCAGACTTCAGATTCCCTCTTTTGGCAGGAGGAAAAATACTCCCCCAGCCACTCCTGCTGCTGGGGCGACCTCCTCTCCAGCGTCAGCTTCTTCTTCAGCCACCATATCTGACACTGTCCCGAGCGCAGTGGCTACTAACCCTGTTGCCAGCGCCCCTGCTGCCAACCAGAACGCGCCCTCCCCAGCTACCATAGCTCCTGCTGCTGCGGGGGGCGGTCGGGACAAAGAACGAGGCAAAAGGCCTCATCCTGACAGTGAAATCGATCCTGAGGAGGAGCCTCTCATTAGAAGGACCCGGGTCTCTGGGCCGGGTACTCTCTTGCACCGAGCGATCAGAGCTCCTTCTCCCTCTGGGCCTCCCGCAGCTGGTGGCTCTGCTTCTGCTTCAGGCCCCCCTTCTATCCCCAGCTTACCGCCATGGGCCCCTCGGTACACCCGAACGGATGGGACGTTCGTGAAACCGAACGAGACCATGCTGAAGGATGGCCAGACCGCTATGGCCTACTACAGGAGCATGTGGACTCCGAAGGACCTTGAGGCGGCAAAGGGCCTTTCCCAGAAGGACGTGTTCAGTCGCTTTCCCCAATCTGCTATGGAGGTGACTTTTATTTTCTAACTCATGAATTCTCTCATATTACTTGGTCCTGCCTTCGCCCGTTCTAACTATTGGTTTAACCGTTTTTAATGTGCACCTATGCAGACATTGTTCGGGATGATGGCCATGCAGAAGCAGGTGGAGATGGGGAACGCCAGGGCCCGTAAGTATTCTGACAGCCTGGAGGTGGCTAATAAAGAAAACGACCTCCTTGCCATGAAGAATACCGAGGTGCTGGTTCGGCTTGACAAAACCGAGCAAGAGAGAGATGCCCTGAAGAAGGAGAATGATTCCCTTCAGGATGAGAAGGACGCCCTCCAGCTTGAGAAGAGCGTCTGGCAGACCGAGAGGGAATCAATTAGAGAAGAGAAGGCAGAACTCCAGCGCCTTCTAGCTGATGAACAATCTGCTCGGATGGCCTTTGAAAGAAGAGCTCTGGACGAGCGTACCGCTCTGATCGACGCGATCAGCAGAGTGGGTGGTGGGATGCTGGCCCTTTACGCCCGGTTCTCAAGGGTCGGTGCTCTTAGGTATGCTCAAGGATTCCGGGAAGGCTTCACCGACCGGGTTCCGGATGAGGGACAGACCAGCTCCACTCCGGATGAGGTAGACAAGGATCTGGGGATCGAACCTCTGGGGGTCTATGTCGACCCAGAACCTACCGAAGCGGAGCGTATATTTGATGAGTGCCAGGACATCGCATCCTCAAGGATCATCACAGCTCCTCCTACCGCTCTGCCACTGACCGCTCCTCAATCGTCAACCGTGGTTCCTTCTATAGCCACTGCTGACGCTGAACCTCAGCCGAACGATTCAGTCATTCACCTTGATTCCCCACCTCATGAAGGTGAGGCGGCTGACGGGGCCGAGGAGGCGAGTCGGCACGACCAGGATGCTGTTGGTACTGAGGCGTCCAGCTAGGGCTCCTTCGAATTCTTCCATTTCATATCTTCTTGTAATGATGGACATCTCTCTTTTGTAAACTCAATGTTCAATATTAATGAAATGACAGAACTCTTTTTTCCCTATGTGTTGTGCTCTATTCAACTCATCTTCAGTACATACATATCTTTTCTCTTTTTTTTTTTTCTTTTATATTAGCTTTGTCGTGTGTTTGTACGGCAAGTGCCTGGCGCTCGGCTAGAATGCCACTTGCCACTTGGCTTTAAATTTTTAGCAAGTGTCTGGCGTTCGGCTTGTAGTGCCAGCTGCCACTTATCTTGCTTAAGTGCCTGGCGCTCGGCTAGAATGCCACTTGCCACTTGGCTTTAAATTTTTAGCAAGTGTCTGGCGTTCGGCTTGTAGTGCCAGCTGCCACTTATCTTGCTTAAGTGCCTGGCGCTCGGCTAGAATGCCACTTGCCACTTGGCTTTAAATTTTTAGCAAGTGTCTGGCGTTCGGCTTGTAGTGCCAGCTGCCACTTATCTTGCTTAAGTGCCTGGCGCTCGGCTAGAATGCCACTTGCCACTTGGCTTTAAATTTTTAGCAAGTGTCTGGCGTTCGGCTTGTAGTGCCAGCTGCCACTTATCTTGCTTAAGTGCCTGGCGCTCGGCTAGAATGCCACTTGCCACTTGGCTTTAAATTTTTAGCAAGTGTCTGGCGTTCGGCTTGTAGTGCCAGCTGCCACTTATCTTGCTTAAGTGCCTGGCGCTCGGCTAGAATGCCACTGGCCACTTGGCTTTAAATTTTTACAGTAGACCGTTGGAAAAGAAAATTCTTTTTTGTAAATTCCAGTAACTTGCTCATTCATACGTATTTGATTGACAACAAACAACATCCAATTAAAGCCAGAACTTAGCTTTTATTGGTAGTACCTCTTCAGAGACGTGGCGTTCCAGGGCTTGCTGACCAACCTTCCCGCCATGGTTTCCAACGTATATGCCCCCTTGCCAATGACTTCTGCAATTCTGTATGGGCCTTCCCAGGGTGGCATCATTTTTTTG